TGTACCAGTAGAACTTGATTTAAATTAGCTTCCTATTTTGGGTTGTGCTAATAGTTGTATTGCAGTGTCTGCTAGCAGTGTTCAGTTGGTTCGCTAGACAAAGTATTGGGAAATAAAAGGATCGTGGGGGTTTCATTCGCAGTCTGGATGCCGAGATGAGCGAGTTTTGATGTGTTTTCATCAGTTACTACTGATAGGCATTATAGTTCACTTATATATTACAGAACATGAAAATCTAAGGAATCGCGAAGGATTCTGTTCATTCATCAGTCTGATTTGTTCTTCTCATCATTAATGGCATGTATCCTATTGTTGTTTTTATATGAGTTTTTGCATGGAATGAATAGGCTTAGTTAACCCTGATTCTTGGAAGGTCCTGTTCTGTCTGTATTTTTAAATAGGATCGTTTATATCACTGGTTCAGCAGTACTGTTGGATTCCAACCTTCTTTAGTGATTTCGCAGATGGATTGTCTGTAATTTAATAAAAAATGGTCAATAGAGTTTGATTTTGTGTGCACCAACCGTAGGAAGAGCATTATTGCAGTGTTTAAAATTTACAGGCGGAGTTTAGTTTATCTAAATGAGAAAAATACTTAGAACTAGGTGATGTTATTGGTGAGTATTCCGAATGTATTTCTATTAAAAAAGTTTTTTGCCTTCGCGTTGTTAAGGTTATTATACTGTTTTAGTATCCAGCACCTGCGTGTATATACTGTGTTCACGTTCATTATATCACAATGCACACATACATTTGCCTCTGATTAGTTTGTTTATTTGAGTTTGAATATAAGGATGCTCGGCTAAACAAGACTGTATTGGGTCGAGTGGTAGGTAATAACTGCAATTCGTTGGCTCAAAACAGGTACATTATGGGAGGACAAGGTTGTGGACGCAGGAGTACCCCTTCTCCTCCAGAGTGTGGATCCGTATACAGTAGATTTTCATAACCAAAACAGTCAGTCATTAAATATTCTATCTTTTTAGAAATTTAAACTGTTCCTGCATAGAATTGTGGTTGTCGTCGCTGTGATACAGGGTCGCCTATGGGTTGATTTTAATTACTGTGAATTTGTTTATTGTTCGTCGTCATTGGTTGGTTAGACGTGGATGTCACTTGAGATCTAATGTTTTCCAGAGGTGGTATACGCTGTGTGTCCGAAGGCTTTTGAAAACACTGTACATCATGTATATTTAGTCATTGTAACAATACTAAACATGTTTTTGACTCGTATATTAAGGTTCCATGTTATACAGGCCAGTTTATTTGTCATAGTATATGAACTCCATAGGTGATGTCCTGAGCGATGTTGGTTGTTGATTGTTGTTCTGCCAGATAAGAGTGCAAAAACGTCCAAGATGATATTAGTATGGTTATTTTGTGGTGAATAGGACCTTGCGTTCATCAGCAAGAAATTGATCACATTGGAGAAGCTAGACCGTCAAATGTGTCTTGGACATTTGCTGTCTACGGTATGAGCGCATTCGTGTTAAATTTCTACTAATATCTGCTGCCGATTGTATTTTTAATTGGCAATAACGGTGTCTG